CGAGCACAAAATTTGCAAATCCGACCGACGCACAAAATTCAAAATCGAGCACAAAATTCGCAAATCCGAAGCACAAAATCGAGCACAAAATCGGCAAATCCGAAGCACAAAATCGAGCACAAATCAATCTTCCGAGTTCAGGTTTACGAAATGCTCGGGCCAACGATTCCTTTTGAATTTTCTCTTCGAGGCCTGGGCTCGGCCAAGGCCACTTAGGCCCCACCTGAGCCCCTGGGCCCCAGCCCACCTGGCCCCAGGCCAGGCCCCCATAAGCCTTTGTGGGGTGGCTTAGGCACGATATTTTGGGTGCGGCAGTGACGGAATTCGCCCGAAGGCAAAGTGCGGTTGGTGTAGATCGACATTCGCTTGGAGGCAAAGTGAGGGTGGTTTAGGCACGATATTTTGGGTGCGGCAGCGACGGAATTCGCCCGAAGGCAAAGTCAGGGCGGTGTAGACACGGCATCTCTGGTGCGGCAGTGACGGAATTCGCCCGAAGGCAAAGTGTGGGTGGTGTAGATCGACATTCGCTTGGAAGCAAAGCGTGGGTGGTTTAGGCACGATATTTTGGGCGGCAGTGACGGAATTCGCCCAAAGGCCCGAAGGCAAAGTGTGGGTGGTGTAGTAGATCGAAATTCGCTTGGAGGCAGAAGGAAAGTTGGCTGCGTATCATAAAAGCGCAACGCATGTTTCGCTGTAGCCGTGTGTCTCTTAAATCTTACGACGAGGCCCCACTATGCTAGAACGCTAGAATGGCACACGCAATCAAATTACAGGGCTGGAAATCGGTAAAATGTTTTCAAATAGCATATTTGTTTTTTCAATGATGCGCAGCAATCCCCCCCGCGGAACCGTTGCTGCGATTCTGAGTCTTTGTCATGAACGGTGCAAGTGAGCAGTGAGCGTGATGCTACAGTGATGTTCCTCTTGGCTTGTGTTGCTGAAGGGAAGGCCACGACAGGCCAAGTAGGAGGGGCTAAACAAGCAGCTTGGTTCAGACGCACCCATGTTGCGGCGGTTGCGCAGCAGTGCCAACTTGGAGGACAAGAGGTTAGTTGGGAGGGCAGCATTTTTCAGTCCTGCTCATGTTCTATGGTTTCAGGTTTAAGCGACCACTTGTGACTGCCATCAGCGTGTGTTTCGGTGATGGACGCGACGACCCGTTATGGCCCGTTTCAATGCTGTGTGTCCGTCTCTGCGTTCGGGCGTTGTTGAAGTTCAAGATGGCTTGCGGTTTGTGACTTTGAATATTCAGAAAATTTAGTACGCTGTTACATTGACATCGCTGTATGTGTATGCTTGAAATCGGAAGGATGATGCTGGTGTTGGCCGCAGCGAGCGCGGAGATGGAGTTGAGAATGACAATGAATGGGATTTCCTCTCCATTCCCAGCCCTGGCAGCTCAACACTTGTCCCGGAACTCCAGGCAGCCAATGGGCAGTTCCTTTCCTTGACAAGCTTGGCCTCCGTGATCAGGTCAGTTGTGGATCACTTGCCTCCAGGATTGAGGCAAGATTTCCACGCTTTCGGTGCCCGCCTGACTTTGACTACTCCAAGACAGCGTGCAACGCTGGCAACTTTGTGCAGTGGTACGGACGGATGCGTTGACTTGATGAAGGCGGGTTTGAGGGTTTAGGGGTTTCGGATTCAGGCTATGGTGTCTTTGAGGTTTTGCAAAATTTCGAGCCTCAGCTCACACCTACTGGAGCAATAGCGATCAACCGAGCGTGCAGGTACCAGTTCAGAGTTTGAGCTTCGCGCCATTGTTGAGCCTACGCACAGTATGTGAAACTTGACTTGCTGTACTAGTGAGTCATGAGTCATGTTAAATTCCATGTGAAAGGAATTTGCAGTGATCAGTAGATGCACAATACAAAGAATGACCACTTTCCAGTATCAATGAGCTTTGATTAGTGGACAGTTTGAAGATTGCTTGGACCCTGAGACCTTAAGCCCGAAGGCGTGAATTTCATGATATGTCAATGTCAAGATCTGAAGAACACTCGTAACTTTAAATTTAATACCTCATTTGGTCTTATCCAGAATCTAATTTGTTCGGGGCTGTAGAGTGTTGTGTACTTCGTAAACCATGTTCATTCGGCGTATGAGTAGTGGCACAGGTTCAATTGCGGAAAACACTAAGACACAGGCCCCATGCTTCCAGTGGCTCCGAGACCACAGTCAGTCATGTCACAACTGTCTCCACAGGCAAATTGTCCCCTAACTTCTCCCATTTTTGCAAGTCCGAAAGCCAGCAGCCAGGATGTGTTCTGCTTTGCGGCCGGCCCTACGAGCCTGCGTGGAGTTCCGCAAGACAGCTTGTGGGACGAAGTTGTGTCGCACGACTTGTCATGTGACAATGACTGCCGGTGCGAGCAGTACATCACGCGTACAAGGTGCCCGAGCGTGTTTGTCAAGGACATGAGGGACTGCCTGGACACGGTGATCAACAACCTGGTCACCGGGAACTGCGAAGTGGTCCCTTCCTCCAGGTGCTTGATATGCTGTTGGGTCTGCCATGACGTGCCAGGGACTTAAGCCAGTTTCTTCGGGTGTAGAGTGCCAGAAGTGTTTTTTTGTTTGCGCTCCCATGACCCATGCAAGACGAAGGAGTTCTCGGAACAACAAGAGGAAGAAGACCTGCATCATGTCCGGCGCGGGCGCTACTGGCGAAACGTTTGACTTGCTGATCAGGTATTTGCAGAAGCACCGGCCCAACTGGTTGTACTGCGAAATGGTTTCGTAGCTGTTGAATACCTGTTGTTGTTGTGACAGTTGGTGCCTCTGCTCACCATTGAACAATTGATCACCAGCTGTTTTCAGCTTCCAAGGTCACAGGAATCGCTGCCACTTGCCGAGGAGATCAGGAGGACGAGGAGATGAACATGTTTGCAAGCAACCTTGAGGCGGCTTTGGCCCGCTTCCGGGGCGCTGGATACCTGATGTGCCACAAGAAGGTGAAGCCTGATGCCATGGGAATCCCCATGTCCCGAGCCAGATATCATTTTCAGGGCATTCGGGCAGGTCTTTGCGAGAACGAGGCCGCCCAAATGCAGGAGCTGGATGAGATTTGGACGCAGATCTTGGTAGGGCGGTACCCAGACCTGCCCATCGACTCCTTCCTGTACGCAGAAGATTCGCCTGAGTTTGCTGAGTACCTGGCAACCTTGCAGAGCACACATGAGTTCCCGAAGAGGCTCCGGAAGAACGATTGCAAGGATAAGGGCAATGCCTGGAAGATCTTGCACGAGAAGTTCTGTATCGATCACCGGGTGTCAAGACACTGCAGTAAATGGTTTGGGGTTTGCTTGAGATTTAGGGTTCCATAGATGCATTGTAGTTTGTAGTGGGGCTTAGAGTTCATGACCCCAAGACTCCCCCTTACGAATTGCTATGGGCCCCTTGCGTGTCATCAGACGACGCTCAAGTTCCGGGATTGGCTTGGGATTTGAACCTTCAACTGCGTTTGTACGCGTGTGCCATTACTCTGGATATTTTTTCTATTACTATAGGTGACGCAGCGCCAGATCGATGAAGCCATGCGCCCCTATGCTGCCAATGACTTCTTCCAGAGCATGAGCGCTCGAGAGCAGGAGATTGTGGCCTTGCGTGACATCATTGACCCGATGTCCCCCACAGATCCTGAAGTGAGTCTTGATGTGTCCCTTGGAGTACATTCTTGGCCTATGATTCTGCAACATAATAATTTGTGTGGCTTCCCTTCCTTAGTAGCAGTCGACGTGACAAGTAATTAGCGATTTCTTAGCGATGCTGATTTGGTCGTTTCTTCCAGACCTGCGCCTGCGCCTAAAATTCTGACTTGGGCTTTGCCAAGGTCTCAAAGCTTGGGCCGTTGCGGGCCTGGGAGTACTGCTGTGAGCTGCCTGACTGTTGGATCTAAGCACTGGTTGCGTAAACGCCGCCGTTTTCTCCTTGGAAGGGAGAGAATGGCCTTGCAAGGCATATTGGTAGGCAAGCATGCCCAGGCTTTGGCAGAAACAAGCGAGGGAAGCCTGAGACTTCTTTCCGGCAACTGTGTAAATTTCTTCAACATGTCCCAGGGATTGGTTGCAGGAATGGCCACTCTTGATCCCAAGTACTTCCTGGGCTGATCCAAGAGGCTAAGCATCGTCGCCATGCAGGGTGAAGTTGTCAATACAGAACAAAACACAAATAACTTGTGTGTTGCCCGTGCGCAGAGCGATGCGCGATCAGTCCAAGGGTGCAGGCGCTCTTGCCTGCTTGGGGAACGTCATGAGGCAGGCTTAGGATCCCAGGTGCGCCAGATATGTGAAATGATGTGTCGCAGCGTATGACGCATACGGTGTGATATGTTAATGAAGGTACCTGGCCTTCCCAAGGCAAAGGTACGTAGATACATTTTCTAGAGTGTAAGTCCCAAAGTAGGTGTTGTGGTGGGTGTGCTGACAAAATTGTATTATTGGTGTAGGCTGCGTTGGCCGATATTTGAGAAATGAGGGCTTGCGGATGAATGAAGAGTTGCGGGTTAGGGTTTTTTCAGGATTCAAAGTTTAGGGTTTAGAGCTCACAGGGGGTGGTCAGGTTCGTGGCAACTGGAGGGGCTTAAGCGGCGTGGGGGTTATTACGGTTTGGCCATGGATGCTCTGGTGACTGTAGGCTCTTGGAACACGAACGTTATCATGGTTTGGGCCCGGGTGCTCTGGTTATCG